ATAATATTACAGTTACTTTAAAAAGATAATATAATACATGGAATAAAATGATTGCTAGGTATAAACTATAAATAAAAATATTTACGAAATAGATAAGTTTTTAATTTAAATTTAAACAAACCAAGTGAGCTCAAGGATCTTATCTCTTGAGGAATTATGTTCCAGAGAGAGGGAACGGCTGATGAGAACGCTCTGTCACCGTAAGTTTTACTGGCACTTTTGGGAGTAATTACTTGATTTTGATTAGCAGAACGTAGTGTGCGCGTTGGATTGTAACTTTTAAGAAGTTCAGTTATATAGACCGGAGCCATGTTGTTTAGTGCTTTAAAAACAGTCAGGAGTATTTTGTAATCAATACGAGCTTTGACCGGAAGCCAATGGAGACCAATAAGTACAGTACTGATAGATTCATATTTCTTGGAGCCAGTGATAAGTCTTGCTGCAGCGTTTTGGACGCGCTGGATTTTATCGATTTCTTCGCCTGGAAGGCCATAAAGAATACCGTTACAAAAATTAAATTTTTGAAGAAATGAATGCATGAACAAGACGCTCAATGTTGTCACGATCGAGGAAGTTTCTAATCTTGCCGATGTTCTTTAGTGAGAAAAAGGCAGACTTGCAAAGCATGTTAACGTGATTTGACATCTGGAGGTGAGAATCCAGGGTAAAAACTAGTCGGGTATAACTGCCTCATTAATTGAAACAAGAAGAAWTAAAGATGAAATAGCCCAAAACATTTTTCCCGTCGACTTATTTAATGTATGTATGGTTTCTTAGAAATCTTTTTATGTATGTTGTCACGTGGAAATACATGAGCCCGCAATGCTACGCTATAAGGCGCAACGTAAGGCGCAACGTAAGGCGCAACGTAAGGCGCAACGTAAGGCGCAACGTAAGGCGCAACGTAAGGCGCAACGTANTAAGGCGCAACGTAAGGCGCAACGTAAGGCGCAACGTAAGGCGCAACGTAAGGCGCAACGTAAGGCGCAACGTAAGGCGCAACGTAGGCGCAACGTAAGGCGCAACGAAACAGGCGCAACGTAAGGCGCAACGAAACAGGCGCAACGTAAGGTGCAACGAAACAGGCGCAACGTAAGGTGCAACGCATCCAAACCAACTTGTTCAATCTCGTACCCAGAGCCTGCGTTTCTTCTGGCCTGCGGCGAAGAACAAGGGCTCTGGCATAATCCATTTTTTGGCGCATTCCCCATTTTTGCTGAAATATAATCGATGAAAATCATGCTTTAAAACAGAGTTCCATGTTTACTTCCGAACAAACAAACAAAATTAGAAATCGGAAATATATTTTTTTGAATTTTTGGCAAGCCTTTGAACGCAAGTACTCTTATACCGGAAGTCCAAGAAATCCTGGTCTCAAAAAAATGGATTATGCCAGAGCCCTCGCTCTTCGCCGCAGACCAGAAGAAACGCAGACTCTGGGTACGAGATTGCAAATTGTATTGATATCAAACCACTYGAAATTTATCAATAAATATCTTGGATTTTCAAGAGAATTTTGTTGAGGAAAACAGAAATTATTCCAAACAAGAATAAACTCCAAAATTTACTTTATTATTCAATGACACATTGTACAAATAATAACAAATATATATGCAGTACAATTCTCATTTTCATTCATCTTCAATAACTAAATTCACACCAGGTTTGTGTTCTTTTACGAAATGTTTTACACGTTTCTTACATTCTACAGTTATTTCCTCATTGCCCCATAAGTCTAATTGTTCTACTTGACAATCATCTTGTATGATAACCTCACAAATCCTCTCTGCTTCTTGATCTGTTATTTTATTCCACCCCAGGTCTAGGTGGGTTATTTTAGTATCTGCTAGTACACTAGAAATACTCTTCACTCCTTCGCCTGTTATTTCATTATCCCTTAGGTCTAGGTGGGTTATTCCAGTCTTTACTAATGACTCAGTCATTTTTTCTACACATTTATCATTTAACCTACAAGCCGGCAGCTTCAGTTCAGTTATGAACGAATTAGGAACAAGTGAACTACAAACAACTCCAACACCAAACGAGGTTAAAGGTGAACCACGAATGAACAATGTATAATCACTAGATGACTGTGGATCTTGTTCTTTTAGTGAACGAATGATATCCAACAAATACGATATGTATTTAATATCAACTTCAGTAGTTACTCCGTAAAAACGAATGATCCCATTACTACCACAGTATTTATCGTACAGATTATTTATAGTTTGTTTACTTAGTTCTTCGTTTCCATACTCATACAGACACTGTAATATTAGCARTCTATTTACATTATCATCTTGTGTTTTCCGTTCGATTAGTGCATTCAATAGTTCTTCATTGTTTTCCCTCGACAAAATTCCAAACATGAACACAATCGTCTGCCCGCTCACGTCCTCTGGGATTTCTTTATCTTTCACAAAAGAAGAAGCAGAGAGATATTCTTGCAGAGTCAAATGAGTGAAACTAAACTCTGCTTTTGTTTCAAATTCGGAAATTCTAATTCCAGGAACACAATGAAGAATGCCGCTTTTTTTCAAGTTTTCAATTTCGTCCTCGGTAAGGTTTAGTTCGTTCATATCTTCTTCGTCAAAAATATATTTACTCTTCTTCAGTAAATAAGCTGCTAATTTTGCTAGTTTGTCCAGCGTTTCTTGAACTATTTTCTCCTTTTCATGTTTTGGCATTTTTTGATCCTTTAGACGTGCATGGAGTTTCTCTATTAAGACTTTAATAACTTTACGATAGAGATCAGTTATTTTAGCGGGTAGATTTTCCGTGATTCCTTCACGAGTAATTTGCCAGTCTAAACTCCAGCACAACAAGAAAGACAACAGCGGAATATGACAAAAACTTATGAGGTTCTCATTTTTTCTTACATGATTGCTTACCAGCATTTTTGTTTGTTGTTTTTCTGGTTCGCTGAAATATTTGTCGACATACTCGATGACTTGTTCAGGTGAAAAGCCCGAGATTTCTACGTATCTGTCAAAATTGATTTCTCCCAACACCTCGGCTTCTTCTGGCCTTGAAGATACCAAAACCACAGAATTTTTTAAAAATATTCCTTTGATCAGTTTAGAACAAAGTTCAGGGATTGGCATWTTTTTTGTTGAATCATTTGGATATTTTTTCTCAAAATCCCCAGCGATTTGTTCACGGTACGTTTCCGAAAATTCATCAAATCCGTCCAAGATKATCAGTACCTCTGAGGAATTTGTAATCAAATATTCAAATAATGAATCGTTTATCTTTGAATTGTCGTCAAGAATGGGCGAACAATTCAGTAATTCTTGTAAATTCATTTCTTTGTCGCCCTGTAAACTGAGCTGACGGAACTTTAACAAGTACGCGAACTTAATATTGGGAGTGTTTTCGTTTTGAAATAATCTATTCATAGACCAATCTCGTATGACTTTCTCACAAAACATAGTTTTACCTATACCGGGTTTACCGCTAAGAAGAAATTTTCGATTTCCTTCTTTCATTCCAATGAAAATATCTTCGTATTTCTCAACTTTAAAACCCGTCGTTCTTTTGGTGCATCCCTGCTGCTGTTGACTTCTGTTCAGGTCTTTTTCTTGTTCTTTTTTCTCTTGCTTTTTATTGGCATAATATACTGTCAAATTGGTGAAGATGTCGTCTGTCTTTGCACTGGTAACGTCATGGGAAGAAATATTTTTGGGCAATGATTCTGTTCTTTTTTCGATGGATGATTTTAATGCTCGACTACAGTAATGTATGTCTGCAAAAGAAAAACAACACTTATTTGATGATATAACAATATAAGCTAGAAGAAAATTTCATAAAAAAACTACAATTATTGCAAAATAAACTTGTATCCTCATCGTAACCCGCTCGTTGGTGTTTTACCACTCTTTTCACTGCTACGCGCTGATCGAGACAACAGTCGCAACAGGGAAATAGGCCAATACACTGACGCCAATCAGAGAATATAACGGTATATATATATACATAAATATAAAGGATTTTTCTAGAATGTTCTAGATAATGTAAGTTATTATTTTTAACATAGGACCATTACGTAATCAAGTTTGTGAGAGAGTATGTATTAAAAGAAGTTCGCATTATCCAATATGTACTCTGTTGGGATCCCTGTGTTCAATTTTATGTTCAATTTTATGGGAACGAGAGAAGAGAAGTCTTTTTGTCCTCGCCACAGGAAGCCCAAGGAGCAAAAAGAGTGCCTGCGGAGGAGGCTACCATGAGTGGTGGGCATAAGTGTTTTAGGGCTATTCAGTGCTCGTGTGCTGGTCAGAGCTTGTGGCAGTCAGTCAGTTTGTGGAAGCCAATCAAATAGATTAGCAAGACAAGTTGTAAAAAAGACTAGAATAGAGACTGGTAGGCTAGTGCATACCATATTTCCGTGAAAAACTTTGTAAGAAATTGCACGAATTAGTTGCACGAAGTTCCGTAGACCTCAGTAGACCGTAGATCTACAAAACTTTGCACTAATTTGTACAATTTTGTTAGTTAACTTTTTCACGGATATATGCATGGTATGCCCTCTGAGCTGTATTTGGATGTTTACTAAGTATCGTGGTTGGTGGGATAAATAGCTCTTAGACCGAGTTTTTTCCACTGCCTTATGGCCCGAGCGCTCGGGCCATAAAAAAAGTGGAAAAAACGAGGATCCATAACTTACGGTACGGACCGAGCAAATGAGGTTAATAAGATATTTATTATATGCCAAGGTATTGAGATAAAAAAGAAGCGAAGCAACAAAAAGTAGAGTTGACAGCGCATGTCAAACGAGAACTGCATTGCAAGGGCTTCCTGTACGTGCAACAAGTCATGTAGTGTTTGAGTCGCTCAGAAAGAGAGGTTTTAGTTTACTTTGAATGAATTTAGGTATAGTTTAAGTAATATTTCAAAGMCTCCAATATCGGACTGGACGGGATTTCAAGTCAAAGCAATTAGTTCCAGTCCGAGGCGCAGCCGGCTTGAATTAATTGATTGATTAATTGATTAATTGCGCGGACTTGATATCCCGTCCAGTCCGATATTGGAGGCTTTGAAATGACTTCTCATCTCATTAATTATTCGACTTGGAGTAACTGGAACAAAATTAATTCAGTCCTAGGACTGAATTAATTTTGTTCCAGTTACTCCAGACTGAAATGCATTCCTTTCACAGCACTTTACCAGGTTTCAAGTAACATCATGTGACCCAAAAATAGCCATTGATTGGCTGGTTTACTCATGAATTATTAATGAGTATGAGAAAGTTTTCTGAAATACTAGTTAACAAAGGTGAGGCTTTCTTTTGCAGAACATGTAAATGCAAAGCAAGAAAGGCATCAAAAGAAGACCTCAAGAAATGAACATGAGATTGAGAAGAAAACTGTCGTACTTCAAACTCCCTTTAGACTTCAAAATATTCACAACCAAGATGAAAAATACTAAAGCCTTCCGTTTGTTTTCCTGCCATTTATTTGGGTGAGGGGAGGGGGAGGGGGGACTCAAAATCTCTCCAGAAATGAATGATAAGCTTTGGAAAATTACGGCTCGCTGATGGATAGTTTTTCGTCAATTTTCAACGTTTTGACTGTTTGAAGCAGGCCGCCATATGCACAATGGCTGAAGTCATGAAGACGGCACACTTTCGACTCAATTAAAAA